GCCCGCCGCCAGGGCCAGCAAGGGCGTGTGCGGGGGCCGGGGCCAGGGCCAGGGCACGCGCTGCGCACCCAGGGGCGGGGGTCAGGGTCGGCACCGGCACGCGCGGCGCACCCGGGGCCGGCCATGCGCCCGGGGCTGGCACCTGCCAGCCCAGATTGCTCCGCAGGCGCATGTAAAGAGCCCGGCGGGCGCCATGGTGCCCGCGGGCACCGGGTTGGGGACCATGGGCTTAGAGGGCTGAGCTCCAGGGTTATACATATATCTGCCATGACATTCTGCCCTTGCAGCAGGCCATATGACTCAGACTAAGACCTAAAGGGACCATCATGATGATCTAGCCTGACTTCTTCCCAGGCCACTGACAAGGGGACAGAGAGTTGATGGTGGCAGCTGCCCCCGGGCCCAGCGATTTAAAAGAGCCTGGGTTTCCCCAGTTGCTGATACCACTACAATGGCAATGGCAGCAATTAGAAAGCCAGGCCCTTTAAATTGCTGCCAAAGCTCTGGGCGGCATCCATCAGGTGGCTCTGAACAGCTGACTAGGGGAGGCTAGATCCCAGTCCTGCCTCTTCTGTCTAAGGTGCCATCTCTTTCACAGGCCCAGAGTTATCCTCCCCACTTTGCCCAGGGCCCCACGAAGTCTGTCAACAGCACATCACAGGCCACAGCCTCACTCACACACTCCAGTACTAGGGCCATAACCTCTGGCTGAATTACTGAAGACCTCAAAGCTTGATTTATAAACTTCACATTATAGAAAATCCACCAGGCACTCTTGTTTAAGCATATGACCCATATGCCACAGGGTAGAAGTAGGCAAAAAACAAAACGAAATAACCTCAGGGTCTCTGACAATCTCACTGGGGGGACCAATTCCTTCTTGATTCCAAATAAGGCAATTAGACCCTAAGCATATGACAAGACCTACCACCAGACTGAGAGAGAATTCTCTGAAGTAACTCAGAGTTCTCCCCATTGAGTGTCTGATCTTCAGCAACTGGAGATATTTACTACCACACTCGTCATGGGCCACATGCCATTATAGCAAACTTATCAAACTCAGCTTTGAAAAAAGTTAATTTTTTTTGTCCCAGTGCTCCCCTGGAAAGGTTATTCCAGAATTTCACTCCTTTGTTGGTTAGAAACCTCTGTTTAATTTTAAGCCTAAACTTGCTGAATGCTTGTTTATATTTATTTATTCTTGTGCCAGTGTTGGCTCTTTTCTTAAACAACTTTAGTGTTTAGACCCCTGGGCTGTGTCTACACTGCACCCCTTTTCTGGAAAAGGGATGCAGATTAGACAAATCGCAATTGCAAATGAAACGGGGATTTAAACCCCCCCTGCTTCATTTGCATAAACATGGCTGCCGCTTTTTTCTGGCTCGGAGTTTTGCCGGAAAAAAGCGCCAGTCTAGATGGGGATCTTTTGGAAAATAAAGCCTTTTCAGAAAGATCCCTTATTCCTCTTAAAATCAGGAATAAGGGATCTTTCAGAAAAGGCTTTATTTTCCGAAAGATCCCCGTCTAGACTGGCGCTTTTTTCCGGCAAAGCCCGAAGCCGGAAAAAAGCGGCAGCCATGTTTATACAAATGAAGCAGGGGATATTTAAATCCCCGCTTCATTTGCAATAACAATGTGTCTAATCTGCATCCCTTTTCCAGAAAAGGGGTGCAGTGTAGACACAGTCCTGGTGTATTTATAGAGAAGAATATTTCCGTCAGCTCTTATTTTGTTAGGCCTCATAAGTCAACAAGCTTGCCTCTTCTCATAAGGTAGGTTCTCCGTTCTTCTGATTATCCTAGTATCCTTTCTATCCCTGTTCCAGTTGAAATTAATCTTTTTTGAAGATAGGAGATCAAAATTGCACACACTATTCCAGATGAGGTCTCACCAGTGCCCTGTATAATGGCAATAACACTTTGCTAGCTCTACTGGGAATACCTAGCTTGATTTATCCTAGGATTGCATTAGCCTTTTCACATTGGTCCCATTCTGATTAATCCTGCTTCTAGCAGACTGTACAGGGCTGCTTGGAACCAGAATGTAGGTATACATTAGCACTGTTTTTGCAGCATATTTGAGTGCCTGGAAGGAAGGGTGGGGGAAGGAAGTGACATATGATACTTCCTTTGCCCTAATCTGAATTTGCCCCTGTAGTGAGGCAGCTTGGCCTCACTGGGTATGTCTATACAGCAGTGATATTTCAGAATAACATTAGTTATTCTAAAATAACGTAGTCCGTGTCCATACTACAAGTAGTTTTTTCGACATAATGGAGAGCTGCAGGACTTCTTATTCCGACTCCTGTAACCCTCATTTTACGAAGAGTAAGGGAAGTCGGAGGAGGAGTGCTCTTCTTCAGACTTCCTGCTGTGTAGACAGCACCAAAAGCCGAAAAAAGCTATTTTGACTTAAGCTTCGCAATTGTCATAGCTCAAGTTGTGTAGTTTATTTCGGCTTTAGCCTGGCTGTGTAGATGTGCCCTCTCTGTTCCGGAAGGGGAAGAACTTCCCAGACACTCTGGTGGGCAGAGCCAGATTGTTCCTGCCCTGTCCCCAGGAAGCGGAGCAGTGGGGCCGGAAGTATAAAGCTGGAGCTAAGAGCTGCTTAAGGAACCAGACGCTTCTCCTGAGCTCCCAAGGTGGGTGGCTAGAATGCACCTCCAGGAAGCAGAGGACTGGCCAGGACGACTGCCAATCCCATACATGGAGGAAATGGAAGCACTGCCTAAGGACCCAGAGGAACTGCTATCACACCAGGCATGCCCACCGGGGGAAGTGAGAAGTAGCTGGGTCAGCTGACTGATCTGTCTGAGGAGATGGAATTGACATGAGTCAGCGTATTGCAGTCTGGATACCTGCTGGGCAGGCCATTTACCTATTCTGCCTGTTGTAATGAAGCAGCTTGGCCTTACTCTTGACCCCGGTCAGACTCGGGATTTCAACCCGATCCAGTACAGCCCCAAATGAATCAATAAGGGGAATTTATCTACCTTCTTTACCAGGCATAGTTTTCACTCCTTCTTCAGTAGCCAAAAAGGTGGATTCGGAACTGGTATCTTTTTTAAATGTAGCTAAGCCTAGAATTAAAAAAAAAAAAAAAAAAAAAAAACAAGATCAACAAATATCTTGGCAATTAACAATAATTTTACAAAAAAAAACCACATGTGCAAACAGATACAGAACTGAGTTTGTAGATCACTGGACAAGCTATGATACTCCAGTCCATCAGTGCAATTCAACTGTTCTACATACATACTATAGACACAAGTAAACAGTACAGTTGAGTGCGATATCTAGTATTTCAAACATGGTACAGGTTGAACCTCTCTAGTCCAGCACACTCTGATCTGGCAATATCCATGGTCCAGCACGATTTTAGTTAGCTGGATTTCCATTTATCGCAGGCGTGGCTAAGTCTCCTGCAGTTCCATAAAGTTTGTTTTTATCCACTAGTGCAGAATTTCAATGTTCTATAGGAATGCAATAGTATAGTCGATTAACCAATTAACCGATAAGCAAACACTTATAGGTTAATGCTATACACCAGTGTTTTCCAAACTATAGGCCATGGCCTGGTACTGGGCCGTGGGGAAAAAAATACCGGGCCTCAGCATAGCTGCCGGGATGTTCCAGGCTCCTGGAGTGCCCGTGTGGCGCCAGGTCCCCCAAGCCCTCGGCTGAGCTGAGCAGAGTCTGCAGCCGGATGTTCTGGGCTCCCGGCAGATGCATAGCTAGAGTTACCAGGAGAGTTTATTTAA